GGGGGTGGGCGGGGTGGCCCAGGGGCTGGGTCAAGCTGAGCCTCAGCTGCGCCCATGACCCAGGGTAGTTAGGGGGCTGAGGCTGGGGACCCACCAAGAGGGAAAGCTGGGCAGGGCCATCTCTCACTCACCTCCTTCTCCAGATGTGGGCCAAGGCTTTTCCCAAAGTCCTATCACACCAGGCAGGGCCACCAGGTACAGGATCTCACCCTTCACATCTGTCCCTGCCTTAAAGTTCTTGGAAGAGGCCTCAGGGAACTGCAGAGAAAAGTCCAAGGTGGAAGGTTGTTACTGACAGGGGAAATCACAGAAGGCTTCCCAAAGGAGTGGGCAGTGCCTTGCACCCAGTAAGTACTTACATGCTTGTAGGCTGATTATAAAGTATGAGGAGGACTTGAAAAGACACAGAAGAGGGAGAATAAGCCAGGTAGTGGGAGTTTTGTGAGCAAAGGCACGGAGGCAGAAAACACGACACATGAAGTAGCTAAAAGTTGCAGTGGATAGAGCCCTGGGCCTGGAGTCTGCAAGAAGTGAGTTCAAATCTGGCCCCAGATACTTACTAGCTGTGTGACCCTGGGCAAGTCACTTTAACTTGTTTGCCTCAGTTTCTCCCTCAAATATAAAATAGGGGTCACAATAGCACCTACCTCCCAGGGCTGTTGTGAGGACCTAATAAGAGATTTGTAAAGCAGCACTTAGCACAGTTCTTGGTACACAGTAGGTGCTTAATAAATGTTTATTCCCACTCTCCCCCATCCTCCAACAGCCCAGAGACCCTGGGGACACAAATACCATTTCATTCCTCCAGCAAACCAGGCCCATGGTGGACCCTGGGTTAACTAACAGCCCCGTGCTAGGCGAGGCCGCCAGAACGCTTTTCCAGCATGTACCTAGGACACTTTTAGCCAAAAGAAAGGAGTGTCTGTATTGATGTGCTGTGGCTGAGGCAGAGGGCAATTACTCGATGTCTGTGACTTCCCCTCTGCGCCCCACTCCTCCTGGGTCCATGTGCTATCTCCTGAGAACCTCCTTTCCTGAACTGTTGTTTTCCCCAAATTCCCTTCCCGTTGGCCAAGTTAGCAGGCCATGCCCAAGGGCCATCCCCAGAGGCTTCCCACTAGAAGCCTTCTGGCCAGGGAGATGCCACAGAGCGCCCACTCAGCGTGCAAAACCCAGCACTGCCAACCAGCCCCACTCAGCAAGCAGAGCCCAACTTTAGGCTCCAACTGGAAAAGGGCTGGATGCCAGGCACTTGAGGACCAGCAGCGCAAAGGCTCCAAGGGCTTGTCCCCAGAAGCCTGGGCCCGAAGAGAAATAAGGTTTATGTTTACCACATGCTGGTGTGCGCTGTGAATGATACTCTGAACACGAGCTGAAGTAGCAAAACAAGTAACATATACACACAAACGGAAGGCTAGATACAGTTATTTTATTATTGTTGTGTGGAAACACATTGATATGATACACACACAAATATACAAATGGCTGAGCTCAATAACAAGGACCTGAAGGAAAAAAAAAGGTAAGCCTTCCCACCGCGATTCTCTCTGCTTGGCCTCCAGAAGCGATTCTTCCTTTCCTCCACCTGCAGCCACCCAATCCCGGAGCCTCCCTTAAGTGCCAGAGGCCCACAGCACTCCAGGCAGGGGCCCACAGCAGCCCTCACTTTTCCACTTTCTGTTTCCAAAAAGCAATCCTCGGATGGATAACAGAACACGGCTCTTCAAAAAGTCACATTCCAACAATATGGCAAAAGTCTTTTCTCCATTAAGAGACTAGCTGCATCGGGCATGATGGTGCCAGAGTCAAAGGGCAAGGGTTCGAATCCAGTTAGATACAGGCCTACTGAGCGAGCGCACATGCACACACACACATATACATACACACACACAGAGGTACGTGTCTCCCCAACATAAACAGAGTCATACCCCAGGAGTATGCTAAGCTCAGCCTCTCGAAGACAGCAAAAGCATCATCCCAGATGCATACATCCACACATACCTACCTGCATCTCAGGATCACCATGGCTGCAGGGCCACCAATGCCCAGGAGCTCCACGAAGAGCTCTGGAAGAGAAAGATATAACCATCAAAGGAGGAGGGGGTGGGGCCAGACCCACCAAAGTCAAAGGAGGAAAGGGGGGAGGGGTCAGACCCACCAAGTCAGAAGAGGTAGGTGAGGAACAAAGGCCCAGGCACCCCTCTACCGGGCCCTGGGCCCCAGCTATAAAAGCACTGCTTCCCCAATAAATGTGTGCCCACACGTACAAAGGCACACGCCTGCAAGTGGCCAGGCACAGCTGGAGCAGAGATCCCCAGGAAATGCCCCCACCTTCTGGGCCATTTCCAGCTTCTTCCCCCAAGCCCTCCCCCATCTCCTCTCACAGGCACATTTCTATCACCTCCTTTTGTGTCCCCTGAGGCAGCTGGCAGCCCGGGCCTGGCACAGGATAATCACTTCAGAAACCCCGAAGGATTGACTCTCCTAGCCCTTTCCAGGCTGGCCCCACTCCCACCCTGCTCGCTGTACTCATCCACAAAGTGCCCTGTCGTGATCCTGGGGAGCCCCCTGCATCCACGTCAAACACCCCCTCGGCCCCACAGAGCTCAGTCCAGGACTGCTGATCTGACCCTTCACCCCAAGCCTCAGCCCCAGGAGGATACACAAGCCCCGGGGGGGGAGTGGTTCACCCGGACTGTCCCCTCCCCCACCTTGGGGCTCCAGCCCCCTCACACTTAGCCACAGCACACCCCGTCCCCTCCTTCCTCATCCCCAGCTCAGAAGAGCCCCTCCCCCCAACCCAGCCACAAATGAACATGTATCATCCTCAGATGAGGCCGCACTGCCCCATCCCCTAATACACAGACCCCTGCTGTAGCCCTGCAGAAGCCCCCACTCACCACGCCACTCAGGAGAGCGCGCACACGCACACACACGCACACACACACAAGCACACACGCACACACGCACACACACAGCCACTCCCTGAAACCCATCAACAAAAACACATACATCAACCTCAGCCCCACCCAGCCCTGCAGAGAAGCCCCTCCCCCAAATCCAGACCCAATGGCATCCATAGAGCACCCCCAAGCTGCAGCCACCCCAGGCCTGAGCTCCTCATCCAGCCCCTCTCACACACACACAGGCCTATACCCGGCCTTCCAGATCCCCAGAGACTCCGGGCAGTGCCCACATGCCCGCCCCCCCACACCCACACACACACCCACAGGGCCTCTGGGCCCCGAGAATCCCTCACTCAACACATCCATCCCCCCACTCCAACAAATGCCCAGCATCCAGATCTGGGCCTGAAGAACCCCTGCTGTGACCATCCCCGTGGCACTCCTGGACGCACCCTCGGCCCTTCCTTCCCTGCCTCAGCCCCCCTGTATGCCACTGACGGCTTCTCTGCACCCAGTGCTTTACAGACTGGGCGCTCCTTGTGGGTAGGGCCTCTCTTTTGCCTTTTGGTGCATCCCCAGCGCTCTGCACAGTCTCTAGCAAACAGCAGGCACTTAATATTTGTTCACCGACGACACATGCCAACTCCTGGGGCCAGGCCCGAGAGGCGCAGCCTTAATGCCCTGACTGTGACGAATTATCTCCCCATCCCATCGCTGCCCCCCATCTTCCCAAACCTGCTGAGCCTCATCTCCGCACCCTGCCCCCCCCCCGCCCCGTGCCTGGGGCCTGGTGCCAGGCTCAACAGGCCCTCCCCTCCCCTAACCCACACAAACAGCCTGGCCCCACTGCACAGAGACAGCCCTGGTCCGCAAGCCCACACAGCACACCAGTGCACTCCTCAAGTGGAGGGAGCGCCCTCCCAGCTCCCAGCTCCACAGACAGCTTCCCCTCTGTCCTCACTCAACGATACCTGCCCGTCCCCACCTTCTCCCCCCTCAGACACACCTGTCTCAATGTCGTAGGTCCCCTTCCCTGCTTAAAGGCAGCTAGCAAAGGGGCTCAGGGGATGGACTACTAGGTCTGGAGCCCGGAAGACCCACATCACTTACTAGCCGTGTGACCCTGGGCAAGTCCCTGCTGTGAAATGGGGCTAATGACAGCACCTCCCTGCCAGGGCTGCTCTGAGGATCAGACGACATACTTGGCAAGAATTCAGCAGAGGCCACACACGGCAGGCTACTACCGTGATTCGCACCCCCCACAACCCGCCTGAACTGAGGCCTTCCCGTGCCGTGCCATGCCCCGAGCTGCAGAGCCCCCACCCAAGCCCCCTTCTGCCCACCACAGCCCCACACACTTGGCCTTCGGAGCTCTCTCTTCTCCGCCTCGGCACAGCTCCCGCCTCTCTTCCCCCACCCCATGCCCTCTCTCTAATCTTCACTGTCTCCCTGGCTTCTTCCCTCCCCGCGGCCAGGCCACCTGAGCCTGCCACCCTGCAGCCTCACGTGGCCTCTCTCAGCCTCAGTCGCCTGCCTCTGCTTTCTTTCCTCTTCCTTCACCTCTCACTGCCTCCGCCAGCCGGCTTCTGTCCTCAGGCCTCTCTGAAGGCAACCAAGGGTTTCTTTACTGCCAGATCTCCTGGTCTTCTTCAGGCCTGCTGGCACGGGGACAGGCCGCCAACGGCCCTCTGCTGGACCCGCTTTTCTTTCTGGCCTCCTATTTCGGGCCGTGGCTCTCTGGTTCTCATCTGACCCATCTGGCCACCCCTTGCTGGCTCTTCAGCCGCCCTAACCTCAGCTGGTGACCTCATCAGCTCCTGGCTATCATCTCCACATCGCTGAATCCCAGATCGGGAGATGTGGCCCTGTCTCTGCCCTTCCGGACATCCCCAACCGGATGTCCCTCCGGCATCTCACTCAGCATCTTTCCCCAGAGATGCTTACCATTCTCTCCATCAGCAGCCACATGGATGCCCTCCTCACTCCCCGACTAGCGTGTTTCCATAGCCTCCTAAGTGGTCTTCCTGCCATCGTCCTCCACGTAGAAGCTAAGGTGATTTTCCCATCACCCTCCAAACTCAATAAACCACAGCTGCTCACCTTTACTTCTATTACTATTAAATTTAAGATGCTTCGTATGGCAACCTGGCCCTTTGCCCCCTTCGCTTGATTCCCCATCCCTGAATTCTACCATCCAGCTGCTTCCTTGAACACAACACTCCAAATCCTTTCTCCACGACTGCGCCCAATGTCTTTCCTGTCTAGAAAGCTTCCCCTCC